ATATTTATCATTTCGTACCTAAAAAATGATGTTATGATATGTAAAAAGTATAAAATAAAGTTAGTAAATTTCTAATACAAGCAACGTCAATATTTACAAAGTAAAATGGTAAATTTTAAACGTAACGCTAAAAAATCAAACTGTAATTATTGACTTGCTTGAACTCGGCTGCCCAATTTTAAAACACAGTAACTGCAAAATTTTTATACCTAATTTTTTTTTAGTATTGCTGCATTTTTTGTAACTTTTAGACCTTAATTTCAAGTAAATTTTCTTAAAAATCTTTATATTCAAGTATATTCTATTTATAAATCAAATTTTTGATCAATTTCCCGTGTAAAAAAAATCGTCTTAAAATTGTCTTAAAATTGTCGTTTGTTTAAGATCTTAAACGTGACACAAACTAAGATTATTTTAAGACTCTTTTAAGACGCCAAAAGGAAAATTCCGAGAGCAGATTTTTGAAAATTTTGTTCTCGAATTTGTTGTGAAAATTAATTTTTAGATGATTTTACGACTTTCTAACCGCAATTTTTTTGAGTAAGATGTTTTTAAATTGAATTTAAAATTGTTAAAAAATTATTATCTGACAATTTTAAGACTTTTTTAAGACGTTCCGTTTTAATGTTCCGGGGCTCTGTCGCTGTTAACCTATCTTAAAATAGTCTAAATTTTTTGTTAAGATTTTTTTAAGACTAATTTAAGATAATTTTAAGACAATTTAAAGAAGCTCCATTATAATTTTCTGGAGCTGTCACGGTAATATCATCTTAAAATAGCCTAAAAATTTTTTAAGATTTTTTTAAGACTTTTTTAAGATTTTTCAAAGACAATTTAAAGACGCCCCATAATTATGTTCCAGAGCTCTGTCGCTGAAAGATTTTTTTAAGACTATTTAAAAATTATTTTCAGACTTAAATCTTAAAATAGTCTTAAAAAAATCTTAAAATCGTCTTGAAAAAATCTTAAAATAGTCTTAAAAAAATCAAAATAATTATTAAAAAATTTTTAGGCTATTTTAAGATGATATTACCGTGACAGCTCCAGAAAATTATAATGGAGCTTCTTTAAATTGTCTTAAAATTATCTTAAAAGATCAAGAAACGTATTTCTTAAAGCAAGAGAATTAATTTTGTTAGAATAAGTGAAATTTCTTGTCAAAAAAATTTTTTTCCCTCAAGAAAATAATTAGGAAGAAAAACATTTTCTTGGCTCAAGTGAACTTTTTTTTCTGTGCAAGAATTTTGTTCTCCAGTCAAGAAATTTTTCTTTCTGTGTACGTCAGCGACATACCAACTATTGAAGTCGCTCTGTTCATTCGTTATTTATTCAAATAAAAAATAGAAAAAAAATAAATTTAGATATTTTTAGTATTATTCAAGAGTGTATTTGTTGAGCTGGATAAATTTTATATTAATATCTATAATAGTTTCTGCGTAAAAAAATCATGAAGATCATGAACCAGAATGACCCCTTAATCAAACTAAAATAATTTTCAATTAATTAATCAATTGAATCGATATATTTCTAAACATCGCTCTCTTTACTGGGACTGGCAGTTTTTCTATTATCTGTGGAATCTTCGCCACTAACTAAACTAGGTTCTTTAAGGTCCCAATCTTTATCTTCAAATTCAATGTCGGGTCTGTTGGGTAATGGTTCGTGTGTGTGATAAACTTTGTCATAACTTCTGCGTTTCCATGCACTTGTGTTAGTAATTGTACTCGAGTCACTAGTCGGTGTAACCGGTGAAATTGGCCTATCACGTGGTATCACTGATCGCGTAAATGAGTCATTATCAAGTGCAGATCGTTCGGAAAAACGCCACGATTTCGTAGAACTTCCTTGGTTTGAATTTTTTTTAAGGCAAACGAATACTGCGGCCATTAAAGCTATGGCTGGAATTAATACCGCGCTTATGATACCCATTGTCGTCCAGGCTGTTCGTTGTGAATACTCGATCTGACCTATATGTTTTACGTTTTTTTTTATTTATTTTCTATATCGCGTGCCAAAAGGTAAAAGGGTGCATTAGTTTTTTTTTTTATCGCCAATTGACTGGTAGATATATTCGACGCAAAAAATCAAATATTGATTTCTAAAAGCTAAAAGAGTGTACGTCTTTAATTATGCGCTCTTTTAGTTTTAGGCATTTAAAAATTTTATGACCTACAGCTAAAAGGACCTATAAATTTTTTTCTCAGCAATTTACTAATAAAATGCTTATATTAAGGCTAAAAATTAAAAAAAAAAATGATGCGCACTGAGAGAAATCCCAATAGTTGCCACAGCTAAAAGAGGACAACTATTTTTATTTAGTTGGTGTAACTAATTTAAATAGTTATTACAACTATTTATTGTTCACATGACTATTAAAAAATAGCTGAGGTAACTAAAATTATTTTGTTAGTTACTAACTTGAAATTTTTCCAAGTCCAAGCTCAAAATTTATGAGGAAAAAAATCGACCAAAATTTAATTGTTACATTAACTAAAACTAGTTTGTTATCGTAACTCAAGAAAAATATTTGTCCTCGTATATCACTATTTTTTTATAGTTGTAGCTACTGATTTTTTTTCTGAGTGCAGTCAAAGAGGCGTATTTTAACTATGCACTCTTGTAGAATTAAAATTAAAAATTTTTTTAGAAAAATGACAAAATATGCATGATTGTATTTATGTTTTTTAGTTGAAAATTTCATATTAAAAAACTGAGTAACTGCGTAGATATCACTGGGTATAATCCAAAATTCTACTGAGTATAATCCAAACTCTACAGGATACAATCTCAGATTATATCCAGTGGAATCTTACACAGTATAATCTGAAATTTTACCAGGGGAAATGGAAGGTTACAATGAGTATAATCCAGATATCACTCAGTATAATCTGGATTATACTAGTTAATGTCTGAAATTTCTTTTCACTACAGAATCTGTAGTACAGATGTCACTGAGTATAGTCTGGAATGTTATCCAGTATAATCTTGTTGTTTCCGTGTATTAGACAATTTTTTGGATCTAATTTGTCTTGTAAACTGATTTTTCAAAATTTTTTATAAAAACAAATTTTTTTATGCGTCTTTTTAGCTTTAATAGGCACTAAGCACTTTCTTAAAAGCTAAAAGCGCAAGTCTTGAAATCCGCCTTTTTAGCTTTAAGATGCTCGACTTTTTTTTTTAATCGTTTGTGTTTTAAACGATTTCAAAACAAATGGCAAAAAAAATTTTTTTCAGTGCGCCATTCTAGCACGAATCCGTAATTACCTATAACGATGCGCCCTTTTACCTTTTCACACGCGATATATTCATTTATCCTTTCATTATTAATGATAATTGATATTATCGATTAAAATGAATATTCAAATAATTAACGACTGACATAATGAAATAATTGAAATTGACTTGCAAGGAGTTCCAATAATTCGGCTTTTAGCATAAAAGTTATTTATATAAGATAAATTGAAATACTTACGAAGACACTCAGTATACCCGTACTCAGGAATATCCCAGTGCCCGTCTGGCATGCATGTACGCCTTTGATCGCCTATCAGCACGAAGTCTTGATTGCATTCAAATGTAACTTTAGTACCGGGTATAAATAAGAAATTACTTTTACGTCCAAATCTCGGTGTCTCAAGTACTCCACAGGAAATAGCTATAAATAAATCCATTAATCATTGAAGGTTTCAAGACATTCAGATCAATAACAATTTACAGAAGATTAATTTAGTGTCTTTAAGGAGGTTCGAGCGAATCTAAAATGTGAAAAATAATTTCCAACTTTGAGCTTTGAAATTAAGTATACGTAAAAATAAATACGTCATTTATCTAATCCCAAAATTTAAAAAAGATTTACCGTTTAGTTACTTAGATATTAAATTTCAAAAATCACATTTTTCATCTCCTTATACACGGGCTCTTATAGCGGACAAACTTTAATCGAGACTTTAATTATTTTTTTCAATATTAACCTCCTAACTTTAACGAATAAAAAACTATACACAAGAAACTTGGATTATTGTAAAATATAAAAAAAATTTAATAATAATACATTACCGATATAATTTTTGAAATATTTAAAGTTTAATTTTATGTTTTTGACTCGTTTATCGTCAGCTATTTATTCGAATAAAGATTTGGCAACGTCGCGTCAACAGCTGAGAAAAATGAAAAGGATAGAAATGTAGTTACAGAGAAAGAAATATTTTACTCACATACACTCATGCACGTCTCTGTAATGGGTATAATCAAACGCGCTGTTGCCAAATCTGTTTATTTAATCCGGCAAGTAATAAATACGAAAGTCATTTTATTACTTTATTTTATTAAATAAGTAAAAACCATCAATTATTAAATTATTCAAATTATTTTAAATTAAGATAAAGAATTTTGAGGAATATTGGGAAGACTGCACGGAAAAAAGAAAACAGGAATAATTGACTATTCGTTGAGCATTTTTTAGATTTTCAAATAGTAACCCAGCGTTTCGTTAACGAAAATCTAAAAGTTACAGCTTGGCGCTACGCAATGTTTTACATTTTGAGTAAAAAATATTAGAGTTTCACGATGTATAAAAGTTACTATCTCACACTGTAAGTTTTTGTACAAGTCATTGAAATAATACTCGATAAGCGTTAAAATTTAGATTTTCATTTAACAAGTTTGAATCCGATTTTTTACACGGAAATAAAAAAAAAATATCAATATATAAAATATTTTTTTTCTCCCATTAATAATACTCACTACCTAAATATTTATATCCTAATATTACAATAAGTAACAATCTGTCATATATTGAATTTTAGTGTGGCAAAGATGAAAACGGCAATTCTAAAGTCTATATGTGAAACAAAAAAAAAATTTTTTTTTAATGAAATTTAATTTTTGGTATTGGTTATTCATATATTCATCGGACATAGTTCTTATCATATTTATTTTCGAAGTTTTTAATTTGAGGAAGGGGTGAGAAGATTAGAGTATTAGGAAATTAGTTGATCATATCACACATATACTCGCGTTCCTTATATAAATAAACTTATAATAATATCAATCGCAAATTACCCTAGCCAGGATTCGATCCTATCATCTACGCATGAAAGACCGACGTTTTATTCCGACGCTATTCGAACGACATAGCATTCTGTGTAGTAGAGTGTAGTTATTAGCTACAAGCGTAAATAGTATGCGTCGACAATAGTGACTGAAAAAAACTGGATCCAATTTATACGGGAGAGGGGATAGAATTCTCTACCGCTATTCAAACATTGCTGAGCCAAAC